ACAGAGGTTAAGAGAAGAGATAAAGACCTGTGAGTCAATAATAGAAAATGATCATAAAAATGGTCTCTTCTCAATACTAATTGTAAAGTTCTAATATTTGATAACTCTGGTGCATCTGAGATTAGTAACCCTTTTCTGTCTCTGCCTATTTCAGCAGAAAACTTAGCTAACCTGCCACTGAGACAGAGCAGTGACAAGGCCAGCTGCTCAATAAGGAAAAAAGTAAGCAAGAAGATGAGATCGAGAAAGACTAGGAAGAATTGGGTATATATGTTATGAAGGTATATTAAGGTCTACAATCACAGCTCTGATATAGTAGAGGTGCTCAGTGACAGTTTATTAGATAGAAATATGCATGGATAAATGGACATCTGATGTGACCAGTGTATTCAGGTATTGGTCTAATATGTTAAATTCAATAATAGAAGGAATGTATAGGGTAAGCAACCAGAAACTAGGAAAAGCAAACCTGGCTAAAGGTAAGAACTGCTATCAAAACCAAACAAAAAAAAGGCAGGGGGAACCCACACAAAATATGCAGGAAGGTAGGAAGAACTCAGGAAGGGGGAGAAGGATTTTTTAAACTTGAAACCAGTTGGAATACTAAGAAAACCCAATGGAAATATCTCCAAGGTTAGTAGCAATAGTGACTAAAGATTCAATTAGGGATGGGTTTTGTCAGAGATCATATGACATGCTTATAAGAGCATATGCCCCAAGACCAGATGGGGAAGATGGGTAAGTTCAGAAAAAAGTGAAATAATTTGGTGCCTGCTGAGATGAAGTCGTTTTTCTGAGTGCTGATTCTAGTAAGTTTTCTGTAGAAATCCCATGTCCTAGAACCCCTTAACTGTAGAAAGAATAGCTGCAAATATACCAGACATCCAAAGATTATAGACACGATCTTCAATCCAAATATTCTATTTATTGTTAGTCTATTTTTAAGTCTTGGAAAACAGGCTCAACTAGTAACAGACTAAGCAAAGAAAGTGAATGGTCTGCATTTCATAGATCTTAACCTAGACAAAGTATCAGATCCGCCATGGTGACTAGTTTCTACAATATAAATCTAAGTGGTACAGTAGTAGCAGGACAAAGACATTCCTGATTCAATCAACTCAACTAAATTGAAAGAATGTTTCTATACCAAATTTGTCACTGCTCCATAGTGCAACTGTGCCTTCCACTGCTTAAAATGTCATCTGCATAACCCTAAAAATGTAATCAGAGTGAATCTAGCCTCTTATATAGCATTTAAACATATAACTGTTTTGGTCCCAAGTATACTAAGTGGTATATTGTTTACCTTGTACATCTGGTGCTTTTGTTCTGATAAATGTTTTCACCTTTGTCAAGGTGGAAGGCCAGTGCTACATATGCTAGTAGTCATTCAAGATTGCAGCTGGAAGGCTCAATAAACTTGCCATCTGATCATGATACTTGGCAAGTGTGATTTATTGAGTAGATTAAATACTTTGCTCTTAATACAATGAATAAAGACAGAGCTAATCTTTGCCCGTGGACTTTTCCCAGCATAACCAGGCAAATCATAGATGTCTCTTTCCTCACTAAATGGAATCTGTTTGAGTCCTGACCAAAACAAAAATATAAATGCAGGATTTGGAACTTGATTGTTCTGTGGTATTTTGATACTCAATACCAGTTCTTTACAGAATAAACATTGACTCTTTGTTCGACAACATCTTGCTCTGCAGGGACTAGTCCCAAGAGTCTCATTAAAGAGTTGGTCAGCTAGGGTTTGGATTTCTTGGTCCACTTAGCTCCAAATGCTACATTTCAAATGTATGTTAACTTCTCAATTACCTTTTGTATTTTGGGATATGCTAGTTCTATATTCTCTCCTCTATTGAAAGAATTTAGAATACACTTGTTCATTTCTCCTACTTTTAATTTGAAAATGAGACAATAAAGTTTATGTACCATCTAGAGTATTTCCATTTTTATAGATTTGATTCATTCAAATGATAGCTAATCTTTTAATCTTAACCTAAAGAAATCAAGATATTATTCTTAAACCATGAAGAAAACATGAAAGGAAAATTGATAAAACTCAACTAAGATGCAAAGGGAAAATCACATTGCA